AGTCCTCAATCACTCCCCCTGCCAGGCATGGGCGCTGCTTACAGTGGGGGTCCAGTGCTTCTTCAGGTCCCCAAGGCACTTGCACAACTCCGAAAGCCTAAAGGTGAATTAAGGTAACAGAGGTAAAATACAAAAGGCACCGTGAAGACAGGATGTTTCTGTGCCCAGCCACTGAGCCAGCAGGGAGGGCCGAGCTCCATGAGCATGCCGAGGTAGAACAGGGTTAAGAATGTGCCAAAAAGAGTAGCGAGAGTCAGGATCTGAACCCAGACCTCCTGTCCTGGGCTCACTCCACTTCACCACAGTGGCCACCTAAATCACTTGGTATAGACAGTGTCTAGTTCATACAAGGGGACCAAACTGTCCCTGTCTACTCTGTGGAGCAATTATTCTTGCAATGGGCCATACCCCTTCATGAGACCACAGTCCATGCACCCAACTACCTATTAGATAATATCCCTGGAAGTCTCAGGGTCCTTCATCGGGCCCTCACAAAACTGTTCTTTTCCTAGGTCGTGGCACCTCCATGACTGGCACCCACAACCACCCAGTTGCTGAACCTGAGCCCTTTCTTGGTTCTTCCTTCGCACTCACATCTCAGATCCAATCCATCACCAAGCCCTGTCCTTTCATCCTCCTAAAAATGTCTTGATACAAACATTTCTCTCCATCCCTACTACTGCCACTAACTCACATGACCGACATCTCCCCAAACTGGGAACTGTCCCACCTCCGCCCTTGCCTCACCCCAGTTTGGCTTTTATGCTGCATGCAAAGCGATGGTTTTAAAACATAAACTTCATCGTGTCAGCCTGCTTTTAAAATCTGTCCATTGCTTTTAGAAGGAAAAGCCAAATTCTTGGCCTGACCCATGAATTAGGCCCTGCAGCTCTGGCCCCATCTCTTGACACCGTCCCTGCTTGCTCTCTGTGATCCTGCTATTATACATTAGACTTCCTTATTTTTTTTCTGTAAAATTTTCAAATATCACACATATACAAGCCTGTATAACATAGATGTATACATTTAAAGAATAATTCTAAAACCTATACCGCCACCACCTGGGTTAAGAAACAGAACACAGCCAGATCTCAGCCTCCACCTGTGACCCCTCAGATCATACCTCCCTCTGCCCATCCCTGCCCAGAAGTAACACCTTATACCCTCTGATCCTTCCTTCTCACTTTTCTTTGTATTTTACTACTCAGGGTTATGCCTCTATAAAACAATGCTTAGTTTTGCCTGCTCTGAATTTCATTTCGTTGAGCTCTACTGTAGATGTTCTCGTATGACTTGCTTCTTTTGCTGTACATCAGTATCACGCACAAAGCTATAACTCATGCATTTTCATTACTGCCTCCTTCCTGCCCCGCATCTCCTCATGCCCAGGCCTAGCTCGCCCGGGCTGTTGGTGCTCCTGCTGCCTCCTGTACCTCACAGAGACTACGGGCATCACCGATCCAGCCTCTAGCACAGGAACTACATGGAGCAAGCCCTCAGCACTCATTCGTGTACTTAACGCATACCTGCATTCATTCACATGTTAGCAGTTTCTCAGGACTGTTCTATGGTGCTGCAGTGGCATAGTGCAGTCTGGAGGAAGAAAATGATCCTCTCTAAGTAAATAAAGGCACCCCCCCGACAGGAATTGCACTTCCAGGAAAGCCAGCCCCACAGCTAGACACAAGTCTGCTGACTCTCACCCATGAGACGCACTCCCAGAGAGGATGAACCTGGGGGTGGATCCTCCTCTGAACTGCTCAAATTCCACCCTCTCCCTGCTCTCCTATTAGCCTCTGTGATGAGGGTTGCAGAGGGCTCTTGGGCTGTCTGAAGTGAAGGAACAAATGGAAACTGCATGAAAAGAAAAGGAAGGAAAGCAGTTAGAGAACACTGCTGAGCACGTGGTGTGATAACCAAGGGCTTTCAACTGATGACTGAAACTGGCCTTCATGTTGACCTTTCATTTCTGATAGTCTAACAGATCATTGGAAGAAGAAATCCATCCTCATGGTCGAAGATGAACCTGGCACTGCTGTAGCTCTCTTCCCACTTTACCACCTCTTCCTCCAAACTTTTTTCCTCAAAAAAAAAAAAAAAAAAAAAAAAAAAAAAAAAACCCTCCAGGTTACATATATTGTTCAATTTATTTAAATACATTCAGATTGGATATTTTCCATGACAAATACTTTCTTAGGAATAAGCAACATATTCCCTCTCTCCAAATTAAGAACTTCTCATTGCTTTGTAGGTTTAAAAACATCCAACTGAAAACTCCCTTTTATGGACTGAAAAAAACCAAAGTACAGAGAGTGGGAGTCTCTGCCCCATTTATGGTGACAAATGCCAGAGCCAAGATCTACTCCAAGAGTCTCAATCCCGGGCCCCAACCCTCACCCGCTCTGCTCTTGTACTGTACATTGGAAACCAGAGATCTCCATTCCTGCTGCCCCAGGGACTCTCTCTACCCTCCGACACCATTCTCATCGCACACAGAGCTTTAGGCTTAGATGCTAGAAATGAACTGAACATTCCCTGATAGGAAGGCAGAGTCTGATCTAGTCATTGATGAAAATGATGTTCACGAAGAGCTGTGAATAAGAAAGGGCAAACTACTGCCTTATAAAAAGGAGAAAAATAGGTCAGACATGGTGGCTCACGCCTGTAATCCCAGAACTTCGGGAAGCCAAGGCAGGCAAATCGCCTGAGGTCAGGAGTTTGAGACCAGCCTGGCCAACAGTGGTGAAACCCTGTTTCTACTAAAAATACAAAAATTAACCAGGCGTGGTGGCAGCTGCCTGTGATTCCAGCTACTCAGGAGGCTAGGCAGGAGAATCACTTGTAACCAGGAGGCAGAGGTTGCAGGGAGCCAAGCTCACACCACTGCACTCCAGCCTGGGTGACAGAGTGAGACCCCATCTGGAAAAAAAAAAAAAAAGGAGAAAAATAAAAACAGCATCCCAAAATTACACAGACAGTATGGCTTCAACTATAAATGATAGAAGAAAATTACACTATTTTTATTAAGTAAAAAGTTAATAAGGTTAGCTCTGGGTGGCTGACTTTAAGGGAGAGGTTATGCTATGCACTTTTCAGGACTTCCCGATTTTTCTACAATAAGCACACATTACTTTTATAGTGAGCAAAACATTTAAATAAGAAATGGGCAGCAGGGAAGCAGCACCTGTCTTCTCCACCCCAAAATGCCCTTTTGGAAGTATGATGGGTGGTCCTGACCCACCACGGGTGCCTCCTTAACTCCACCCAACCCTGTCACCTGCTTCCTGCCTCCATCCCTCCTCTCCCAAGCCTACTTACATATTCTTACTTATCCAAGCCCAAGCTAAGGCAAGCCCCACCTTCTTCAAGAAGCCTGTCTTGACCATTCCCAGCCAACTATTAGGTTAGCCATATGACATTGCCATTCTTGTATTCCAGACATTGTCTACTCTGGGTGATTCCATATGACTCAATCTATTCATTGCAACCTCCTCCTCCTGGGTTCAAGCGATTCTCCTGCCTCAGCCTCCTGAGTAGCTGGGACTGCAGGTATGTGCCATCATGCCCAGCTAATTTTTGTATTTTTAGTAGAGACAGGGTTTCACCATGTTGGCCAGGATGGTCTCGATCTCTTAAACTCGTGATCTGCCCACCTTGGCCTCCCAAAGAGCTGGGATTACAGGCGTGAGCCACTGCACCCGGGCAGCTCACCTAATCTTCTCATGAAACCGGCTGTTCCCAGGTCTGGGACGCACAACTGCACACGGGGAGTTTTCTGTCTGGGACCATCTCTCTTGTCGCATGTAGGATCCTGCTTTAAGTCACTCTTCTTAGCACACTGGCTTACATTCTATTCATTCAGGTTGTGAACATTATTGAAAATAAAGCCACCACCTCACTAGCCACAGACCTCCCTCACTCATAAGCACCTGCTTGGGCTCTGCGCTTGGCCTTGGAGACAGAGACATGAGTCCCTGCCCCAAAGTTTACAGAGAGAAAGAGCCTTGGATAGGCATGAACCCAACCAGAAATGCTAACACCTTGCAGGCACCCATCTCTTTAATGTGCTGAATACCTGCCCGTCGGTCCTCTTGCAGGGCAAGAGCTAGACAGACCTGTCTTTAAATCTGTCTGTCTCTCATAAGCAGGTGGACTTGGCCAAGCCACTCAACCTCTCCAAGCCTCATTTAGAAAATAGAAGTAGTCATAGCCCCTACTGCAGATCCTGTGTGAGGACTAACTGGGAGTACATGTGAACATTTATCACCATGCTATACCTAGTCACACTCAAGAAACTCTCCCGGCCTGGCACAGTGGCTCACACCTGTAATCCCAGTGCTTTGGCAGGCTGAGGTGGGTGGATCACAAGGTCAGGAGTTCAAGATCAGCCTAACCAACACGGTGAAACCCTGTCTCCACTAAAAATACAGAAAAAAAAATTAGCCAGCGTGGTGGTGCGTGCCTGTAATGCCAGCTACTCAGGAGGCCAAGGCTAGAGAATTGCTTGAACCCAGAAGGCGGAGGTTGCAGTGAGCCAAGATCACGCCACTGCACTCTAGCCTGGGTGACAGAGCAAGAGTCCATTTCAAAAAAAAAAAAAGAAAGAAAGAAAAAAGAAACACTCTCTTGTGAACCAGGCAGAGTAGAAACTATTACTCCCTTTATTTCCTAATGAAGAAACTGAACTCAAGAAAGTCTAAGTGACTTTTCTGAGACCAAGTGACGCTGATACTAAAACCCTGGTCTCCTGAGCCCAGCGTGTGCTGTGTTCTAGGCTAACATCTGCTGATTCTAAAAGCACACAAACATTTAAGGCTCACTGGTGCAACTCCTAAGGAAATTTCCAAACACATTTGCTACCTCGTCACTACCTGGAATAACTTTGGAAGGGCCCACAAAGAATTCAGTACTGCCATTTCCGCGTGATGATGACGGGCTGGCCATATGCTCGCCTAGTTTCCCATCTGCTCCGCATACGGCAAGAGGGAAAGCGTGCCTACCTGCCGGCGGAGGGGCTCGGCTCCTGTCTAATGGCCCTCCGGAATGATACTCTCACATCAGCTCAGGAAATTCCACCTTCCCCATACGTCTTGGAAATGTTTCCCTCTCAACAGACTTCCCATAAATAAGGCTTTTGCTGGTTACTTCTGACTTAATGCTTATACATTTTCAAATGGAAGAGAGTTGTCTGGTTTTACTTTTGCACATAAAATAATGCACTTATCATTAGTCATCTCCTGCCTGCTCACATTTGAAAATGTATGCACATTTTTCTAGTTTGCTATCATCTGAAACCTGAGACCTTGCAAAGTATGGGGAACATGGTGTATCTTGAAGCCCGGAACCTCGGACAAGTTGTTGTGGCTTTTTACAGCCTCCAGTGATAACAGGATGACAGTCTGGTTCTTCACTTTTTGAAAATATGATGAAACTTCTGGCCTTTGCTCCAGACAAAATACACATAGGCACAAAATCACAGATACCCTTCAAGACTTCATGCATTCCAGATAGAAAAAAAGCTCCATAACAAACCTGCTCATATACCCCCGACCCTGAAATAAAAGTTGGAAGAAAGAAAAAAGGTTTTGAATATTGTGTCAAGGATTCAGAATAAAGACTGTGGCACATTCATTAGAGGAGAGAAAAAAAAAATCACACATAAAACCGAGTTCACATTTCTTTTCCTTTTTTCTTCTTTTTCTTTTTTCTTTTCTTTTCTTTTTTTTTTTTTTTTTTTGAGACTGAGTCTCCCTCTATTGCCCAGACTGTAGTGCAATGGTGTGATCTCAGCTCACTGCAACCTTTACCTCCTAGGTTCAAGTGATTCTCCTGCCTCAGCCTCCCAAGTAGCTGGGATTACAGGCACCCTCGACCATACCCGGCTAATTTTTGTATTTTTAGTAGAGATGGGGTTTCACCGTATCGGCCAGGCTGGTCTTGAACTCCTGACTTCACAAGACCTGTCACCTAGGCATCCCAAAGTACTGGAATTACAGGCGTGAGCCGCCATGCCTAGCCTCAAATTTCTTCACTTGACATTTAAGGCCATAAACCTCTGGCTGTGGGTTCCCATCTAGTTTCCACCTTCCTCTCTCCTAACCCACTCCATGCACACATCCCTCCTGCCTACCTGGCTCCCCCAGCAGAGGCTTGTGCCTTTGTTTCCTTCACCAGGGACCTCCTGTTTCCTTTTCCAGGGACCTCCTTCCCCTCATTTTCATATATCAAATCCTACTCATGCTTTAAACCTCAGCTCAAGTGCCACCTCCTTGTCAGGTTTTGTTGTTGTTGTTGTTGTTGTTGCTGTTTTTTTTTTTTTTTTTTTTTTTTTTTTTTTTGAGAAGGAGTTTTCGCTCTTGTTACCCAGGCTGGAGTGCAATGGCGCGATCTCGGCTCACCGCAACCTCCGCCTCCTGGGTTCAGGCAATTCTCCTGCCTCAGCCTCCTGAGTAGCTGGGATTACAGGCATGTGCCACCATGCCCAGCTAATTTTTTGTATTTTTAGTAGAGACGGGGTTTCACCATGTTGACCAGGATGGTCTCGATCTCTCGACCTCGTGATCCACCCTCCTGGGCCTCCCAAAGTGCTGGGATTACAGGCTTGAGCCACCGCTTGTCAGGTTTTTAAAAGTTCTTCCCATCAGGAAATGACTTCTCCCCCTGACAATTTCCTCTCTTGGCAATTTGTCCTTATGCTTGCAGTACTTAGCACATTCCACCTTACAGATATTAATGCATGGGTCTTGCCGCCCCTACTGGCTGGCAATCTAATTCACTTCTGTAGTCTTCCCCTGGCACACAGTAAGTGCTCAATAAACACTTGAAATAAATGAATATCTGTTTCTCTAATCCACACATGGTGCAAATGAAATGCAAATAAATATGCAACTATTCATTTCTCTGTGGCCCAGACTTTTATTTATGTAGAATCTTCAAACTTGCTTGGGGTCAATGTGTGCTTGTCTGTAGGGTCAGGGTCCCTAACTGAACCCTCATGTATTGGTCTGTTTTCACCCTGCTATAAAGAACTACCTGAGACTGGGTAATTTATGATGAAGAGGTTTAACTAACTTAAGAGTTCTGCAGGCTTAGCAGGAAGCATGACTGGGAGTCCTCAGGAAACTTACAATTATGGCGGAAGGTAAAGGGGAAGCAAGGACCTTCTTCACAAGGTGGCAGGAAAGAGAGAGAGAGAAGCGGGAACTGCCACATACTTTGAAACCATCAGATCTCATGATAACTCACTTGCTATCATAAGCATAGCATGGGGGAAACTGCCCCCATGATCCAATCACCTCCCACCAGGTCTTGCGGGGATTACAATCCAAGATGAGATTTGGGTAGGGACACAGAGCCTAACCATATCACCTCAGGAATGAGTTGAGCCCAGAATTTCAACCAAAGGTCAGCAGTACACATGAATGGGCCATTCAGCAGAATAGCGGATGACTCTCCCGGAAGAATCTATTCTCCAGTCAGAAAGATCATGTTCTACATTTATGACAGCATGCTTAATCTAGATAGTTAAGAACCTCTGTTCCTTATTTTGAGGGGACTTCAATAACAGGTTCCACCAATTTAAGGGGCAGGGTTCTGGGTCTGGAGGATTTCTGATTACGGTTTCTCCAATCTTCTCTGGGATTGGACAAAGCCACATTCCTTGGTTGTATGACAAGGCCCAGCCACAAAACAGAGTCCACTGGGAGAGTCCTTGTTCTCTGTTCTCTGAGATTGTTTCACCTTTATTCTAGATTCTACATAGAATCCACCAGATTTGGGGATTCACCTACTGGCACTAAACGTGGCACAGGGCCCAAGAGATGTGCTTGGAGTCAGGTAAGAAGTAAAGCCTGAGCGCCCAATAAAACCTTTAGTGGACAAACACCTCTGAATTAGGACCACAGCTGCTTGGCAGGCTGACTCCGTCTCTTCACAGCAAACCTGGTTGTTATGGTGATAGGAAGTAAATGAAACTGGGAGAGGATTGTGAAATGTGACTGTGGAAAAAGGGGCTTCTGGGCCTTATATAAGTCATGTTCCAAATATATACCTTTGAATAAGAAGCAAGGAGTCCATAACCCAGCTCCTAGGCATTGCGTGGCATCATGATATCAATAAAACCCCCTGCCGATCTTTCTAAGCCTGTCTCTGCCTTCATTATATTACACGGGGGTCCTGAATGGTTATGATTCTTGAGAAAGGAGTCCAGTTCCTTGAAATATCTACTTTCAGGAACAGGAACCCAATACTAGTAAAATGATTCCCCGGGGAGCCAAAAATTAATCAATCGATGGAATAAGCACCTTGTTTTAAGAATGTCCAAGACTGCGATTTATTTACTTCTGCCTCTGATAGAAGTTTTAGAAAGAAAGACTTAGGCTGCCCAAACACCTTTAGTAAAAGGAGAAAATTTCCATTGATTCTTCTTATTATTATTTTGTTGTTGTTCTTGTTATCTTCAAAGTTAAGCTTTGAATTGAAACTGGAAACTGGAGCCCAAGGCAGCCTCATGGCCAAGTGAACACAGTTGTAGAAGTCAGGCCCAGGGCCCAGTTCGAGTCTGCCTCTCACTAGTTTTGGGACTTGGGGCAAAACTACTTGGAGCAAAGCTACTCCAGCGTAGCTTCCCCATGGATGACACAGGGGCCCAGAACCATTGAATCCACAACTCAAACAGCTTGCCTCCAGAGCTGGAGACTTTTTCGTCACCATCAGCGTGATTTTAAAGGAAAGCCTGATTGATGACCTGGTGACCCTAAGAACTAGCTGTTGTCTAATGCTCTCGGATTCCATGGGGCTCTCTCACAGGTGTCATTTCATATCATGACCATGACAATCCAGCCAAGGAAGTACCTTGATTCCCATTTTACAAACATGATCAGACCAAAGTGACTTAACCACCAAGCTCATAGTGCAATGATCAGAGATTAAGGACATGATCCCAGGCCTGACTGATACCAAGTCTGGTATCTTGCCAGGACACATGCCGCTCCTCTATCAGTGATGCTTCAGAGGGAGATTCTTGAACCAGGGCACTGACCAGAATGATGAGTTCTAAGGTATGTGCTTTTAGCAATAAATGAGGAGGCTGGATGAAAACAGGGGTTCTAAAAACTTCTCATAGAAAACTTCTCTAGTCCCTTCTCTTCAAATGAAATCTAATGAATCTAATGTAGAGTGCCAACATATGAAATAGATAATTGTAGCATCCCTCTGGTTGAAAAAGAGATGGCATCCACCCAAATGTCCATCAACTGATAAATGAATACTAAATGCGGTCTATCATTTTATGGAATATTACTCAGCTGTAAAAAGGAATGAAATACTGACACACGCCACAACAAGGGTGAACTTCGAAAATATTATGATAAGTGAAAGAAGCCAATCACAAAAAAACTGCATATGGTATGATTCTATTTAGATGAAATATCCAGAATAGCTAAACCGACAGAGACAGAAAGCAGACTGGTGATTGCCGGGGACTTGGGGTGGCGGGGGCTGGGGATGGAGAGTGATTGCTTGGTGGTTTCCTTTTTGAGTGGCAGAACATTGTGGAGCTAGCTAGCAGTGATGGTTGCACAACTTTGCGAACGTACTAAATGCCACTGAATTGTAAGCTTTTAAATGGTTGATTCTATCATACGTGAATTTTACCTCCATTTATGTAATGTTTCCAGAATCCCACCCCATAAGCCTCCTCCTTACCATGTCACTAAAGAGCCTCCACAGAACCCTGGTGAGAAAGTCAATTGAGTCACTAGGTATTACAAAACACTACCTTCACCAAAATAGTTCACATATGACAGATGTTTTGCTCCTTCAGGAGCCAAAGGTAATTTCTCCTAACACGCAAAATAAATATGAGCCAGTGACATCTTGCTACCTGGAAACAGAACCTTCCATTGGTAACCAGCTCCAAGGTCGATTCTAGTCCACAGTAATTAAGCAGCTTCATTTTTAGGATACACTATTGGTTTTAAACTTTAAAAATCTATTTTAAGTATACCAGGAAAGAGAATAACAACTAGGCATTGCTTTTTCTTTCATGTCCAGTAGATGCTTTCACTGTTGAGTAGTAAACTCAGCATTATCAAGTGCCTACTATACATTAAAAGTTTTTCTCATTTATTTTTATTTTTATTTATTTGTTGAGACACAGTCTTACTCTGTCACCCAGGCTGGAGTACAGTGGCACGATGTTGGCTCGTGCAAGCTCCGCCTCCTGGGTTCAAGTGATTCTTGTGCCTCAGCCTCCCAAGTAGCTGGGATTACAGGCATGCACTACCACACCCAGCTAAGGTTTGTATTTTTAGTAGAGATGGGTTTCACCATGTTAGCCAGGCCGGTCTTGAACTCCCACCCTCAAGTAATCCGCCAGCCTCAACCTCCCAAAGAGCTGGGATTACAGGTGTGGGCCACCGTGCCTGGCCTCTCATTGTTTATTTGAACATCATTATCCCCATTTTACAGAAAAGGATACTGAGGCTCAAAACAGCTATGCAACATCTCCAAGGACTCATCACCAGTTGGTGAGGGAGTCAGGATTGGAATCTCAGGCTCTTCAGCTCCAGAGAAGGCACTCTCAACTACGCCAAGGTGCGTGTAGCAGTGTCAAGTTCGTCCCCTGGTAGACTGCCTGAGGACTACTATCAGTCCCCCAAGAAACTGACCCCACGCTACAAGACCCAGAGGTGGCAGAGATACACGATGCATGGACACAGGTCTGCGGCCCCTTCTGATGTCTCCTCTGCATCTGTCCAGAGCAGTCTGGGGAGATGCGGAGTTCAGGGTATCTACTTTTTTCTTTAGTCTGTGTGGGGAAGGAAAGATCCACTTCAGCAGTCTTGCTGACAAACTGTTCTCAGGAAATAACTAATGATGGACAGACACTTCAGACCCGCTCTTGCTAAAGAGTTGAAGGGAAAGGCTGGGATTCCATTTTTTTTTTTTTTTTTTTTTGTTTTTAAATAGGTCAGATTCTGTGCAAACGCTAGAAACCCTGGTTTCTAAAGGTACCTTCTAGCCTGGAAGTCTACCTGACATCATTTTATGCAGTTGAAGTGACATAGTCTCAGATTTAGACATAGGATTCAGCATTACAACACTGTGCCACATAAATTGGGTAAATTTTCAACTTATTTGGAAACATTTCTACACAAAGGAGTTGAGAATAATTTCAGCCTTTTCCTCTGCATGGTAAATTTATCAAAATGATCATAATCCCTTACATATAAACACACTTTATGCATTACAAAGTACTTTCATGGATAATCCTTGCTGAGTTTTTTTTTTTTAAAGGTGAAATTAAGAAAAAGTATCAGTAAAAGGCATTGAGTTATTATCATATACTTTTACATTGTAGGTAAGAAGAGGATGAGATGAAAGGGTTTTATATTAGAATAAAAGTCAGGTTCCAACTTCTCACTATTCCTGGTTAGCAATAAAGTCAGTGCTTTTTAAATTAAAAATGAGGTGCTGCTATTTATGACTTGATAAGTTGTAAAATGCCTTTCCCATCCTTCCCAATGGTCTTATGTCCCATTATTATTAAATTCTAGGCCTGTAGTTCATACAGATCACACAGAGTGCAGCTCCTGTGGATTATATAGGTGTAGGTAAAGAAAAGCAACTAGAACAAAAAAAATAAAACTGATTTTGTTTCAATGTCATTTAATGAAAATACAGTAGAACCCTCTATCCCCTCACGTTTAGGTGGCAGAGCTTAAAAAGACTCAGGCCACACAATGGCTCTGGAATTTCTTGTTCCCACCAAAGGACTAAGAATGCCGATGTGTCAAGGTCATCCTAAAAACACTGTACTGCCATGCCACACTGGCATACACCGCTACCCAAATCTCCTGACAGTACCATATGGTTTCTCAGAACCTAGTCTCTGCTGGCGAGACCAATAACTATCAGAGAATAGATTTTTGAGGAATGAGTTTTATTGCAGTAATTCTGACCAAACATCAACTAATCCCACTGCTTTTCCTTCGAGTTGGATAAAGAAAGCAGCCGCAGACACATCTGTACTGGCCGACACATTCTTTGGCTGCCGTCGGGTCTAGGCTGCTCAGAGGACGGCTTTGAAGCACTCACCAGTGGCAGCCACACCTGGCAGGATTGGCCCTTACAAACTACAGGTAAACATTCTCAGCTGAGCCTTGCCAACAGCGGCAATCTGTGCCTCACAGAGTCAAGAACGCTCTTGAGAAGAACTCTGCCGGGCAGGCGCCATCCAGACTGACTCAGAGCATGAGCAGTACTTCTTCAGGGTAATATTTCCCGCAGGGCAGTGGCACTCAACCTTAGCTGCACAGTAGAATCACCCAAGGAACCGGGAAACTTTCTGTGGCCAGGCCTGCAACGCAGGCCAATCAGAATGAGCACCTCTAGAAGTGGGAACTCTACCACTGATATTTTTGAAAGCTGCCCAGAGGGTTCTAACATGCAGCCAAGCATGAGAAGCACTACTATAGGGTGATATTTGGGCCTGAGCCCAGGTGGTGAGAAGCCTTGGCAGAGGAACCTGCAAAACACCACTTGCTTGGGGAAGTCTGCATTCCTCCCAGTCTTGAACAATCACTGACAAGTGCTCCACTTGTCTGTGCACATCAGGGTCAATCTGATTTGTCTAGAGGTAGGAGAAGTGCTATTTGAGATGCCTGTCTTTGATTTTTCTTCCTGAAACCCCGACACAATGATATGTACTCGACCCTTACTCTGTGAGAGCCTGGAATTCGGTAACAACAAAACAAACAGCATACCCAGGTGAAATATCATTCATTTCTGGGGTGATTCCATGGAGGGAGGGCGGGGCACATACATCCACCAACAAGGCAATGTAATGTGCCACTGAGTGGGTGGTGACGAAGCAGAATTATAACTGTTGTAAATATCACAGAACTGTCATTAAATGGGGTCTGCCAACTTTGAAACGAAAAGTTTATACTGCAAGAGTGTAAACATGAAGAAAATAAAAAGGAAGGAACTCTTACCATGTCCTAGTTACCTGTGGCCCTCTTCTCCTGCATTTTATTGTGCTCTTCCTGTGCTTGAGGATTTCAAAGAGAAGCACTGTGTGAACAATAGCAGGCAAGTGGGAGGCCTATCCTTGAGGGAGCTTCTTAGAAGAGACATTCCAGATTTAGATAATAGAAATTCATCAACGGAAGCCCATTTGTCAGTTACTCCCGATTTGAGTCACTGGTTGTTTGGAGGCTGATATTTATAAAATGAATATATTTTATTAGAATTGTTTAAGATGTAAATCTCACTCACAATGGTAAGAGGTTCCAAGAACTTACCTGCTTAGGATATGAAGCAGAGTTAGGAAGCAGAGCTGACAGAAAAGAACGACATCAAAAAGCACTTACTGGTTCTCCCTTTTCTTCTTGAGTGGGTCCATGAGGCGCAGAGTGTCTCTGATCACAGCCACTTTCACTTCTTCATCAACGAGGCTGGGGACATTTTCAAACACCCCTGGAGAAAGCTTGAATGGGTAAGAATTCTGTGTCACAGTGGAGACCGTGATTCAGTGCCAAGTGGCTATCAGCATCCAATCCTCCAGCTAGCTCCAGGGGTTATACTATTCAATTTCGCTTATCCTAATCTATAGAAGAAAAATTATAAAGGCTTCCTTTATACTACTTTAAGAAGATCAATTTCCTTTTATAAATTAACCAAATATATGAAGAGAAAAAATAGCACTATGTTTTTCTAATTATCAAAATGATACGTGCTCACTGGAGAAAATTAAGAAATTTAGAAAGGGGTTAAGAAAACTAAAATAATCCAAATAATCTCCCTAAACCCAATATTGGTATCTGTTGTATTTCCTTCCAGTTTTTTAAAAATGCATTTTTTGGGGGAGGGGGAAAAATATTGAACCACTCTTAAATGTACTATTTATCTTAGTGATTCTAGTATGTCACCATGACTAAATCATATTCATAGAATTTCAATTAGTTCATCTCCTGAGGTTAACTAATTAGTTCGTGTCAAAACTGATGGGAAGGCTCAGCTGCTTCTAAGTTTCCAGACCTTAAAAATTAGAAAAATGGCATGCCGGGAAGTTACCATAGGTCAGATGGGTCTTGTTATTAATAGTCTATGTTCAGAGCTCAACAAAACTGAAATTATTTGACTTGAGCACAATTTGGCTACGACAGTTTGAGGATGTTCAGTCTTGTTCTGTTAAGCGAGCATCATGAGGGTAGGAATATTCAGCTGTATGGCAACAGAGTCAACGAAATGCTCAATATACTTACTTCGTGCTCATGTTCGATTCTCATACTGGGATTTGCATTTACTTCAAGCAGTATAGGCTTCAGATTTTTCATTAGAAGAATGTCAAAGCCTAAAATCTGGGCAGGATAAACACAATTCAGAATTACTCTCTCTATTGAGTATGGTATTAGGGTCATTAAGTTGAAAATAAATTCAAACTCAGTCCCCAACCTTGGCCTTGACCCTGGTTTCTCTTGTCCACAACCCCTCTTCCTCTGGGTGTACTTGTCAGACCAAATGGACAGCAGGAAATTTTATAGGAACCTTGATAATGGGATGAATTCCCACAGTGCATTTCAGCACCATCTTTGTCGTCTGAAGGGCTGTGAAGTTGATGACCTCTTTCTTCTTTAACAGGTTTATTACAGTGTTGAGGATGAGTAGTAGTCCATAGATTTCCCTCTGCCTTTTCTTCTGCTGTCCTTTACTATGTGGCTTCTTAGCTAGCTCTCGGAGAGCCTAAGGCTGCTTTTGCAAACCTGAGGTATACATCAGTGCCATACAAGGAACCCTTTCAAAACCACCACATTGGCCGGGCACAGTGGCTCACGTCTGTAATCCCAGCACTCTGGGAGGCTGAGGCGAACAGATCACCTGAAGTCAGGAGTTCAAGACCAGCCTGGCCAACATGGTGAAACTCTGTGTCTACCAAAAACACAAAAATTAGCTGGGTGTGGTGGCGCCTACCTGTAATCCCAGCTATTCGGAAGGCTGAAGAAGGAGAATTGCTTGAACCCAGAAGGTGGAGTTTGCAGTGAGCCAAGATGCCACCATTGCACTTCAGCCTGGGTGACAGAATGAGATTCTGTCTCGAAAAACCAATACACACAACCCCACTATATCCCTACAGAGTCAGAAGTGCTCAGAACAGAACCCAGGTGAATGTATTTTGAAAAAAGCAAATTCCCAAGGTGATTCAGATATACCCTCTTAGTTAAGAAGAAGGTAATACTGATTAGGCACCTATTACTATACAAAGCCCTGATTATTCATAGTCTCATTGAATCCTCATGCTAGCGTATTTGAAGGAGGGATTATGCACTCCACTTTACAGAAGCAGAAACTGAATCTCAGGAAGGCCAATGGATTTCCCAGAGACCGCCTCGCTAGTTAGTAGTAAATGACAGAGCTGGCTTTTCCACCTAAGCAGGACTGACTACACAGTTTGTGTGACCTAGTGCAACATGAAAATGTGGGGTCCTTTGTTCAAAAAGGATGAACAGTTTCACGATAGGCACATCAAATCAAGCTCAGAGTCCCTCTAAGCGCAGGGGCCCTGTGTGACCGCCTGGCATAGCTGGAGGTCTCCAACACCATTTGCTTCAGGCCTGCTCTCAAATCCAGCATGCTGCCTTGGGTAAGGCTTTGTGTTCCAGCCACTCTGGCTTCTTTCCATTCCTTACAGACCCTACAATCCGGGCCAGCCACTTATGAGTATCTTGTTCTCTCTGCCTAAAACAACTCTTCATCTGGATAACTTTTGCTCATCCTTGAGATTGCTGCCCCTGATGAAATTCTGATTCAGATGACAAGGACTTCCAATTCTCCAGAGGACTCTCATTATCGCTACAGAAGTGATAAGGCAGAAAGTTTCTAATATAATTAATAGAACCCCAAAGTCTCAAAAAATAATGTGGAGAATAAAGAGAAAAAAGAAAAAGGGTTGTAGACTCCCCTCTTCTTTGGATTCAAGGAGGAAAGATGAGGGAAATCCATTTACTTGTCTATATAGAATATGCATAGGTTAAATGATAATTATTAAACTGTAGCTCCATCCTTATTAACAAAATTAGAGCCTGAATGACCATTTTTGGGGGATGATTCAAGATGAAGTTTTTTTTCAATGAAGGGCAATAAGGATGAAAAGGTGGGAAAAGTCATCCTCACTCTATTTTTCTTTCCTTGGTCATGAAAAGAATGAAATAGAAATTCAGTAGAAAATGTTACATGTATTATAGATCTGCTTAATAATACATGACAAGTGGAAGTGAGTGATGAGGCCTTTTAGAGACTCTGGTGACATCATCAGTCTAACTTCAGACCTGGTTGGAGACATGTGATGTTGATGAGGCGACAGAGAACGGCAGGCTGTGGTGATGACGCTTATCATCCTTAGTCATCAACTCTTACTTTCTGGTATATTTTGTACTTTCTCAGCCTGGTGGACTCTTCCCAATGCCCAGTGGTTTCATGAATGTAAAGCTGGGAATGCTAGAAGCTGGAGCAGTAAAGCCTCATCAGCCCTATTAGTGTGCACTCACCAGTGGCATGAGATCTTCCAGAACCTAAATTTGGGTGCATGGTTTTGAATATGCTGGGTCTTGTACAGGAATGCTTTGGAGTCAGAAAGACCTGGGCTCCAACCCCAGCTCAGTCCCTTACACTAGCTAGATGACTCTAGGAAAGGTGCTTAGCCACTCTGAGCCTCAGTGATCTCATCTGGAAACTGAAGATAACAGTAGCTATCTGTCAGGGTTGTTGATAATGGTAACAACCATTAATTTATTTTATTTTATTTTTGAGACAGAGTTTTTCTCTTGCTGCCCAGGCTGGAGTGTAATGGTGCCATCTCTGCTCACTGCAACCCCCACCTCCCAGGTTGGGGGTCAACCATGTTGGCCAGGCTAGTCTCGAACTCCTGACCTTAGGTAATCCATCTGCCTTGTCCTCCCAAGGTGCTGGGATTACAGGCATGAGCCACAGTGCCTGGCCAAGAAAATATTTATTGAATGCTTTCTGTATCCCAAGAACTATTCTAGCTGCTGGAAATACAATGAACTAGACAAAGTCTTACACTCCAGTAAGGGAGATAAGATCAAATAAAGATACTGTAACATACATTTTTTTGCACAATGCTTGACACATCGAAAGTGCTTAATGAAAGCCAGATATGACATTTTTTCATAAGTTCAAGGAAATATGCATGATTTTCTTTTCAAAAGTCCAATAAAATATGTAGCATCAATGGATCTGAATAAACAGAATCACAGAACTGGGAGATATGTACAGTTGATCTTGTCATAAAATCACAGAATGTCCCAGTTGGCACAAAATCAGGAATTTACTTCGTCCAGTGGTTTCCAAAACAGGGTTCTTTTTTGGGGTCCCAAGGGGGAGGCCAACCAGATCAGACCAAATTTTACCTTTTATCCATGTAGTACATGGGGTTCCCAGGGAAAAAGCTTTACCTTTTTTTTGAAAACCCACTTGTTGCAGACAAGGAACATGCAGCTTAGAGAGGGGAAAGCCTCTTTCCAAGTCCCTCTAACAGAGCAGGAATTGTTAAACGGAGAGAGTTTTCAAACATGTGACATTCTGCCTCCCCAAGTAATTCAATCAGCAATTATGTGTTGAGCACCTCCTACTTGAGGGGCTTCCTTGGGGATTTTGAGATATCTGTCCTTCATTCCCGACCTCTAGAAGCTTCAAATCAAGTTGGGGAGATTCCTGAGCCATTAATTATAAATTCATGCAAAGGCTCCAAACTACATCCCAACAAGAGGGGTTAGTTCCTGAGCCCCACATCTACACTTCCATCTGCATCCAGAGTATCCCCAACTGGGAGGTCCTAGAGTCCACAAATTCATGGTATCCAAATGCACTCGGCGGCCCATTGTCTCAAAGACGCTCCTAATAATCCCTACCTGCTGATATTCATAGCCTTTGTGTAATCCCCCCTCACACACAATGGGGTGTGACCTCACCTAGTGACTTGTTTCTAACAGAATAGGGCAGAAATGATGAAATGTCACCTCTAATCTTGGGTTATAAAAAGACTGTGGCTTCTGTCCTTGTGGTGCTTTCTCTCCCTCTCTTGCTCGCTCACTCTGAGGGAGGCCACCTGCCATATCATTGTGAGCTGTCCCCCAGAGAGGCCCAGGTGGCAAGGAACTGATTTCTCTAGCCCACAGTCACAGTAGCTGAGACCTGCCAACAGCCACGGGAGTGAGCTTGGAGGAGGAGCTCTCCCCATTTAAGTCCTGAGGTGACTGCAGCCCTGGCCAACCCACCAGTTGCAGCCTTGCGAGAGACTTTGAGCCAGAAGCAGTCAGCTAAGCCTAAATTCCGACCCACATATACTGTGAGATAATAAATATTTGTTGTTTTGAGCTGCTAAGATTTGGGGTAATTTGCTACACAGCAATAGATAATAAATATACCATATTTTTTTCTAAAATCTTCTTTGCTTTCTGTATTCCTTATCCACCCAATAACACAAGTCAAAATTTGCCCGTTCATCCCTTACAACCAGCTGGTCACTAACACCTGCACACTCTACCTCCTAAAAAGCTTTCTAGACCTGGCCCATCCCCTCTGCTTCTACTCTCCACAGGTCTGTACCATCTCTCGCCTTTCCCCTGCTCTCAAACTCACTCCTCTAATTCATCCGACACAAGGAGCCGTTTTTCTAAAGTGCAAATCAAAATATTAACTCTCCTCTGCCTAAAATCCGTGCCTACAGAATGAAGCCCAAGTCCCACAGCATGTCCTACAAATTGCTCTATGGCCTGACATCTGTCCACACTCCAGGTTTATCTCCTCCCACTTGCTACTACATATCTTGGGCTCTCATTGTGCTGAACCATTAGTAGTGCAAGGATGCTTTACTGCTCTCTGCCTTCATACTCTTCTGCCTGAAGGCATTACTTACTTTGTCAGTTATTTATTGAGCACCTACTAAATACCAAGCCCTGTTCTTGGCACTGAGTGTAAAGCAGTGACAAGACAATGCTCCTACACTCTTATAGGTTACATTTTAGAGGGGAGTGATACCACACGCAAGCCGACAATGAAAGCAAGGTAAGAACACAGAGTGTGATACAGTGGGTGGAGGGGAGCATCTGGGGATTTACCTCGGAGGGCCAGTGAGGCCTTTCTAAAGAGGAGACGTTTGTCATTCCATTGTCTCTGGCCAGAACAGTTTCTGATGAGAACGTTGTGGTTCTTTGTTCTTCTGAACATAGTGTGCCTTTTCTTTCTGACTGCTTTTAAGATTTTCTGATCATCATTGGTTTTCCAACAGTGTTGATTATAGTTTGGGGGTAGTGTGTGTGTATTTTATTTGGAATGTCTTGAG